GCACACAGACAATTAGACAAGACGAATCGCGGGAGGTTTCGATTGTGTGCAGTTTTGCTCCCGTCTACCCGGGGATCTTTGCAGCTGTTTAACAGCAGAACACTGCAACATGGTAAATGAACATCACAATGGCGTCCTCAAATAATATTTGCATGCCTCAGACATTGCATTCACCTTTAGTGGAAGAACAGTACTGCACATTCCTGTGCTCCTTGTTTTCATGTTTAGTATTTATTTTGGTAAAAATGAGTATTTTGTTTTGTTTTTGTTAAATTAAGGGGAAAAAAAGACAGCTACTGTTTAACAAAGTTAAAGTAAAAATGTCTTATTTCCCTAAAAGGGCTATTTCTATTATTAAGCAGGCACAACTTAACAAAATAAAAGAGTTCCTGTGCCTCAACACAATACCTCTCATTATTTGCTGTGTACTGGCAAAGTGAATAATTGTGATTTTCATGCACCCCATTTTTGGTTGGTTGTGAGGAGTGTTGATTTGTATAAGCTTGGCTTGACCATACTAAATGGGCATATAGCCCTGCTCCCCATGACCGCCGTGCATGGGACCGGACCTTGGTCTTATTAAAAAAAAAAAAAAAAAATGGACCTACAGCATTTTTAGTTGAGGACCACTGCTCTATATAAATAATTGTATTGTATTCTCTTGAGCATACCTCCATCTTGTGGACGCATAACATAACTGCACCCACTGTTGTAGCTTCTATTCTATGTGCCTTATAATGCAGTGTGCTCGATACAGTATATGACATTTAAAAAAAAAATAGGCCATTCATTGAAGGTGCGCCTTATACTCCGAAGTACATTACAGTGCGGAAAATATGGTATATACAGAGCATAGTTAACATGTGAAATCGTTGCAATGGTTGAATTTCATTTTCAACGTGATCAAATAAGAGGCATTCACAGCAGTATTTAAGACCAACTTTGCTTTAACCTGAGATCAAAAGTACTCACTGGTTGCCCTTTCGGTCCTGTCTCACCCTTCATTCCCTGGTCACCTGTAGCCCCCTCCATTCCTCTGAGGCCTGATAAACCCCGATCTCCTGGCAGGCCAATCTCACCCTGGACCAATAAAAGAAATGGTAATGTTAGCAAAATGTAGGGGCCAATTTTCATCAAACATATGTTGTAAATAATCAAAATATAGTAAGTAGGTCAAATATTTCTGCTGTTATTTTCACCTTGAGACCCGGTGGTCCTAGTTCTCCTGGTGGTCCTGGTAGTCCGACACTCCCCCGGAGACCTGGATGTCCAGCAGGACCAATCGGTCCCACTGAGCCTCGGTGGCCCTGAAAACAGCCCACAATAGGTGACACTTCCATTTTACGTGAAGTACATTTACATTATAAGGTAGCAGTCAACAATTGGATTTGTTTGATTCATCAACATTAAGCATGCTCCAGTCTAGCACATTTTCATTGTGCAGTATGTGCATGGCTCTAAACCATGGTGTTGATGTTTGCTGGCCTCTCCTGCTGGTCATAATATTTCTTGATTGGGCTCCAAAAGTGAACTCTAAAATGGACTGCCTATCACAGTGCTGCTTTCTCACGCTGCAGACCAAAGCAGTTTCCTGCTCCATCAGCAGTGTGGTGAGGCAAAATGAAGCGAGTGATATTAGAATAACAGATTGAGTGGTTCGTCGCTTCGCATAAGGCTTCTGTTCCTCGATCAACGTGATGAAAGAGGATAATCTCGAATGAACATGCTTGGAATTTGTAAGGTGAACCTCAAAAGTGCAGGTTTTGAGAAGCTCTTTAGTTCAAAATGGTTAGTGTCTCTCTTCTTAATTAGAGAATGTGATTAAATTAAACCTTGACCAAGGTCCTCATAGGAATGCAAGAAAAACAATCCATGGAAACTTGCCCCGACAATGACGTTAAGGCAGCTGCTGTTAGAATTGTGATTGGAAAAATCATGTGGGTAGGCGGATTTTCCGGCTGTGCACACAACAGCTTGCTGCCGCAGGGAAAAATCAAGTTTCATGTGAGATTTTGGGATGTTTACAGACAACTGTAACCTTTAAATCATTCTGAGGTCTAATTAAGAGTTTAAAAAAAAAATAGAAATACTATCGCAATGAGTTATGATGTTTATGATGTTTAAATAGCGAAAGAAGCACAGCACTGATCTGGCCACTCATTCATGCTGAGACAGTTTGCACAACAAAACGTGTGTACAGAGACGAATAGTTCCTCCAATTTTTTTTTTTTTTATGTCAAATGATAAGCTCATAAACTGGTCGACCGTAACTTGAGCGCTCACTGTATCTATATTAGAGTATACACCGAACTGCTGTAGTGGATTGAAATCCTTTGATATTTTGCATTTTATGCAAAATCGGTGAATCTAATGTCATAATTTGCACAATCTATCAATGACATCATTGGCCTTACATTTCATTGGACAGTACAGTCAAGTTAACCTCATTCACTCCGGATTGTTCTATGCTGCCATAGTGTATATGTGAGCCCAAAAGCTAATCTATTTTTAGCCTTGTCCGGTGTCTTATGAGCGGTAACCATTTGCACTGAGAGGCGGAATTTCCACCTACGCACTTTTGACCATTCAATCAAAAAGTAATAGCATTCGTGTAGTTGTTTTTTTTTCTTTTTGACTGGTAAAAACTCTGAAAAACATTTTATTTACAGAAAAAAAGAAATAGCTACACTATGTGTGGTATTTATTTAATTTTAACATCTTAAAATAAAAATTTTCTTGACGTCGAAACTCATTTGTAAGCTAAACTCTAAACTGTTAAATGTGAGCACATCTGCAGAAGAAAAATAGTCCCCGAGCAGATCCATTGTGATATTATATAATGCCCAGAAGGAATGCTTAAATGAACTAAACAGGATTTCTCTGAATGAATTGTAGCAGTCATCTCCAGTGATTTAGCAATGTTACAATGATAAACATTTATCATCTTCAGTACACATATTGTCATTGCATTTAAAATGCTCACTGATATCGATAAGTACCTGTCTTCCTTGTTTTCCGGGTAATCCTGGTAAACCAATGAGTCCTGAAGGACCATCAGATCCGGGATAACCCCTCATTCCTTTGGGTCCAGGTAAACCAAACGGCCCCTGCAAATAATAGCAGAATTAATGTGACAAAATGTTCCCACTACCTGTCCGAAAATGTTCTGTAAATTAAGTTTATAGCTGATTTCATTACAATAATTTCTGGACTACTGAGCGCATGTGAAGAGAAGTCATGCCCACCAACGCCACCCCTAAAATTACAATTATTTTGCATAGTTAACTACTGACTAAATAAAAATAAATAAATAAATAAATAATACATTTTATTTATAATGAATGAAGAAGGAGACAAGCAAGACTTCTAAGGATATTTATCCCTTTGGATTTGAGTCCACAAAGTTTCTGTACCTTTTTGTTTAATCAATTGTCTTCATAACTTTTGTTTTTCATTTATTGATTTCTAATGCCATTTGTATTTTGGCTAAGGAATAAACCCTGAATTTTTAAGATATCCTTTATTTGTCCCACACTGGGGAAATTGACAACTATCGACTCAGTGTCGTGCTTCATGCTACATTCTGAGGGAGCTACATATGGATCAATCTTCACATTTTTTTGGACATAGTATTTTAAATGTTCGTAAAGTAGCTGTAACATGGCGAACATCGTAAAAACTGTTCGCCCTGTTACAGCTGCAACGGTTGTAAAGACTCTATATAAATAAAGTTGGATTGTATTGCTTTGTATTCCCTTTGGCATAGCTCCATCTATTGGTTCCATAACGCAACCACAACCACTGTTGTAGCTTCTATTCTATGCGCCTTATCAAGCAAGTCAAGTCAAGTACAACTTTGTTGTCAAATGCGCTGTATGTGCAACATACAGCACAGATGAAGTTTCTTCCCTCTCAACCAGACAACAAAATTACATCTGGGTGCACCCTATATATGAAAACAGTTTTAAAATACGCCATTCATTGAAGGTGCACCTTATACTCTGGCGCACCTTATAGTGCGGAAAATATGGGATTTTCATTTATTCTTTACTGATACCAGAAATCATTTTCAGCTTGATTCAAAATAAAAAAAAACAAACAAAAAAAAACAAGTTTCTTCATTCTCCTTGAGCTGTTTGGCAGTTGTCAATGCACTTAACAACCAACTAAATAGTGACTGACATTTTGTCATTACCATCAAATGTATAGCAAATAAGGGCGAGCCTAAATTGATTAGATTGATTCAGTGTTTTATGTGCACAATTATCTGTCATTAGTCAAAAGGATTACGTGGATTTACACTTCAGTCAATAAGGTATCTATGCATCCAGCCATCAATTTTCTTTCAACTACGAACCTCATTAAGGTTGTTTGGGCAAGAGGCAGGGAATACCTTGGAATGGTCGCAGGCTATTTGCAGGGCACATATAGACAAAAAGCAACTCACTCAACTCTTCACTTATGGACAATTAACCTATGAAGTATGCTTTTGAAATGTGTGAGGACAGAGCCACACAGAAAGGACAGAGCCAAGATGTGAACCCCAACCCTTAGAACTGTGAAGCAGACATGCTAATCACTCTTTCAGTGCGCTGCCAGTTTTATATGTAGAAAGCGTGACATTTAGCCTGTCAGGACATACTAAATACCTTGGTAAATTGTACCTTTGCCTGGTTCCACCCGACCATACATTTTCAGGACACTTATTCTATTCACGGTCACAGCTGAATCACAGTTGTGATCACAGGTTTGCATATCCATGCGGAAAAGTTTTCTCTCATTTAGGGATAGCTGTCAGATGAAACCTGTGTCATTATATAAGTGTATACGTCCTTTTTAAATCCTAATGATAGTTGAAATCAAGATAGTGGCCAGTGTCCAATTGTCCTGATAATATAAATACAGTACATGATGACACACACAGGTTGAAACGACTATCAAGGATAAGTTTCCACACCCATGGATTGTTTGATTTAATTAGCGTCGGTGTATACACAGTATCATTGAGTTCCTTGGCTATTGCACATTTTAACCAAGGCTGCACTGACTTTGCTGGATCCTGAGCCACGGGGAAAGCAAAATAACTGTCAAAGGAACAGTGAGAAAAGCTAGTTAAACTTTAGAAATCTGGAGGAGGGCATACAAATACGTCTAAAGATTTGAAAAGGTCAATCGCGAGTGTTCAAACTCTCGTGAAGAAGTAAAAAAAAAAATTGGGGTTCTGCTAATACCGAGCCACACTAAGTTCGACCAACAGAAGTTTTAGCTACAACTGCCATGAGAATTATTTGGAATGCAAAGAGTAACCTAAAAGCAACTTCAATCGAAATACAGACTCTGCAAAAAAAAGTGGTGTGGCTGTTTCAAGATGCGCAAGAAGGGGTTTCTTCAACAGAAAATGGACTGCACAGTCAAGTTGAAAGAAAAGTGATGTTGCTGTTATTTTATGTGAAACAATTTTCGGCTTTCGACTCAGCATGACTTAGATTTGTTCTTGGTTTTGCTGTTCGGTGCTTTCTACCGTCTTTATTACCGATTTGTTTTACTGTTTGTTGTATATGTTAAATTGCTCCATGTACAGCACTTTGTATGCAGTGATGGCTGTTTGAAAGTGCTCTATAAACACAGTTGAGTTGAGTTGAGTTGAGAGTGATTGTTAGCCACTCGGGCTTTCGTAAGGGCATGTAGGGGTAGCAAATAATCTAAAAATGTCTCATATGGTCTATCAAAGTAAAAGTGCCCTTCATTCTACTTTTGTTTTTTGTTTTTTTCGCGATTTGTCTGAGGAGCAAGTTATTGGACTTAAGCAATGTGATACTCACTTCAACTCCAGGAGCACCATTCAGGCCCCTCGCTCCTTTCTTCCCCGCTGAGCCCTGAACAAACATACAGCAAATAAAACATACTATAACATGAAAAAAGACACATGTTTATGTATTTCATGTACACCTCAGGGAGGAATGGAAAATGTCAAAACCTTTCAAGATCATGTCTAACATGAGCATCATGAAGAGCCCAAAAACATGACGTCCTGTTTTCAATGGGTACAACAGTGAAGTTGTCTTTTGCAAATTAAAAACAAAACAAAAAATAAAGCAAGTGGCGCTTCTGAAAATATACAACCCAATTTGCATTTGACATATAAGCTCTTTTTTTTCTTTAATATATCGAAAGAGTCATTAACAATGTCTAGCTATACATAAAACCCTTTTGTGTAAAACAGGCAGACAGCAAGACATAAATGTTCCTTTTTTTCTGGACTGTAAACTCAATTCTCCATCTCACGATTTTTTTCTCTTTCACACAACTGAAACTCATCTTAACTGAAGCCAAATGTTCCTAAAGCATTTGAACTCATTATATAACTGGAATGAAAATCTGGATTTTTTTTTTTCTCAACTGTTGGGTTACATTGAAAATGAACAATACATTATGGAAGTAGTTGAATGATGTTCATTATTTAATGGAGGAAAATAAGTTACATAATCAGGACAAAAATAAGTTCATAAAACAGATGCGGTAGGAAAATAAAATCTACAATTGCCAGATACAGTACGTATTACTACAAAAAGAAAGGGAGCCTGGAATTCAGTATGTCCATCAAAATCATTAATACTAATTTGAAGTCTTTTTACAAAATATTCTACAGCTAAGACCTACTTCCATCAGGTGCCTCATATTACAGGAGTTAACTGTCCCTTTCTTTTTTTAATAAAATGGTATAAAACTGAGCTAAGCCATGAAGCACAAAAATAACCACCCATGATGGCTAGGGAGCGCAGAGCACTAACCGCTGAGCTAAAGGTCAGGGACGTCAGCTCTCCAAATCCCTTGATAACTGCTATGGAAGGTAGTGTACAAGTCTGGCTGGCATCTGTTATAGGTTAAGCCAAAATATTTTCATGTTCGAGATGTGAACGGACCTTCCTCGAAGTATACGCCCCTTCTACCCTAACATGCACATTAATCATTTATTGTTCGGTTGATCAACGTGCACCAAATACATAGGCGGGCATTCCGTCAGTACTGGCAGAAAGTCTGTCAGTCTGTCGCTGACGGACATCCCTTTTTGCTGTTGATTGGAGAATGATGGGAGAAATAAATAAATAAATATATAAAAAATGATGGACTAAGCACTGACGGCGATTGGTGCTTACGTCTAGATTTCATCCACAAATTAAAAGATACTGTCGCACCTTTTGTTTGAACACGTATGTTGATTATTCAAACATTAATTAACACTGAATGTTTACACTCAGTATTTGATTTGGATTCAAAGACTGCAGTCATATTAATTAGAAGTGTAGTGAACAAAAGTTTGGAGGAAAAAAAGAAAAACGACACGATGAACATCCCAAACGTCTGAAGACTGTTTTGAATTGCTCAAAAAGTCCGTCTGAGTTCAAAAATTTGCTAAATTGATTGAAAACTACTTTCTTGACAATCGTGGTTAAGGGAAGGTTTAAGATGGGTGTATAATGAGCTAAGAAAGAGTTCTCTTTTGGGCAGGGTTCGATTCCGGCTCCAAAAAACACTGTAGTGATAATTCATTTTTAGAGGGAAAAATAGATTCTTCCACTTTGTGCTCAATGGCTGATTTATGTTGACATTACATTAATGATCAAGTAATTGAAAATTGGTCACCTGACACGTTTCTTTTTTGTGGTTCTAAATGTGGAGATGTTTTCTTTAATTACTTAAGAATTTCCAAGTGGCCCTTTCATCCTCAGTTTTCTGGATAGGTCTTCAAATGAAAAAGTTTGGACACCCTTGGTCTTTACAATATATTTCAGGAGATATTGATATTGCTACCCTTTTTTGGGGGTGCTTTCTATGCCCTGTCATAAAGATTTGGAGCCGTTCTTTGGTGCAGCTGATGGGGCGACATTGAATTTCTTGACAAAGGAAGAATCAATGGAGATTGCAAAGCACAATATACTTGATTTTGATGATGACGTCTTAAACTGTAAATTAAAAGCAGGTGTGAATCTGTCACTGTTTGAGATAGGGGTGCTGCCAAGGCATACAGGAGTTTCAATGGCTGAACAATTGGGTGTGTCTTCACAGTTTCCTGTGAAGCAGAAGGGGCTCCAATTTGAGCAGGAGGAGAATTTGTTACCTTTGCAATTGGAAATGGAAAGTGCCAGGCCTCGAGTGTTGAGGGAGTCTACTGCGCATGGGTTAGGAGCTGTGCGCAATAACTCTGAGCCATCTTCTAACTTAGGCTATGTTCCCCAATTCAGTGAGCGGGATCGGGATACAGCTCGAGGCTGGCCTGATGCTAAAAGGATTGGACTAATTCAATGCATGCTGAAGGACAGGGAAGGCGCAAGAGGTGTATTCTACTGTCTGTGCGAAGGACAATTTGACATATGAGGGAGTGAAGTTGATAGCAGAAGGTGTGGAGACAGCTCTTTTGTCAGGAATTAGCATGAGCCGGGTAGTGTAATCTGGACTGCACAGTTGGTAGATGATTTTACCCTGACACATCAGTGTTTTGGTTCATGCGTGCACCTCTCGTGTCTGGGGTTGATTTTGACAGCTTGCGGGCGTTGGATGGAAAGGTTAGCGCAGCACGCAAACTTGTGAGTCAGTCAGGATGTTCATGAGAGGGAGATGTGTGCAATGACTATCGGAAGGTGGGCCATTGGAAAGACAAGTGTCCATTGTTGAAGAGTATGTCGCCGATTATGTCGTGTGTGAATATGCCACTGCGAAAAATGGAGAATTCTGTGAAGTCTGGTGTCCATGCAGAGTTTGAGCCCTTCATTTTGACTACACATGTCGCTCGCAGGGATTTCTTAATATGAACACATTGCAACACAAGTACAATCTATAGTGCTTTCACAACAGCTGCGGATGTAACAATGCAATTTACAGAAGGGTTAACATAACAAAAAAACATAACAGAACACATTCATACAATCGTAAAAACTCAAACTGCATACACCTCGTTTGAAGCATTTATAGATGAAAGAGGAGACAATCAAAGTCTCCTTTCAGCAGTAGATAAGAGACGTAATGTGTGACCGAAAGAAATGTCAAAATGTGCATGACGTCCCACATGTCGGCTACAAGCTCAAGTTTAAAGTAAACAAGAAGCTGTAGCGTCCATTGACGATAAAAGAAATTGGTTCACTTCTCCTGTCAAATTTAGATCGGCATCAATTCCAAGCGGCGACTCTCAGTTTCAAATACGCATCTGCGCTCCATACCGACTATCCTCTCTCCTCATCCTCAGCTCCACCAGCCATATATCCAGCCGCACCAACGCAGACTGGCCAACAACGCCGACAGCTGCGCTGAACAAAACGGGGTTGTGAAAAATGCTGAACATTACAGGTGCAAAAAAATCACAACCATCAAGCACAGATTCTACTTCGACGAATGTCGTGGCCAAAACACTGAAAACAGTCCACAGTGAGTCCACACGGACAACAAACACCATATGACAAAGTGTTGCGTGACACTGGGGCTAAACAGCCCTTTATATTGGGGTCTGTTTTGCCTTTTTGGAGTGTGTCACAGGCTAGCAATTTCATTGTGATCCATGGCATGCAAATGGGCTGTGTTCCTGTGCCTTGTTATAGTGTGGTTCTAGAATGTGATTCCTGTAGCAGTTCATCCTGCGTTGCCTGTCGAATGCTATTGGGCAATGACATCTGTGGGTGCAATATCTTTTCGACGGTTCCGCCTTCTCCGCATGCAGTATCTGTGCTGTTAACCTCGGAAATAGTTGGTGAGGATATTTTCTCAATTTGTGTTGTAACGTGTGCTCAGGCTACGAAAGTTGTAAGACAGTGGTTGGGGCGCCTGCTTCAGCGGAGTCTGTGGTGTTGACTATGTTTCCTGTTGCCGTGTCTGAAGGGGACTGGTTGACATGCTGAAAAGTGACAGTTCCATTTGGTCATTACAAGAGAAGTTTGTGACTTCAGATCAGATTCGAGATTTATGTCAGGGGTTATTTTGTGTGAGACTTTGTTTGTTCTGCCATGCGTGCCATTTTAAACCTAATCAGATTATTAAGATGCATCCGATTCCTGTTTTGCATTAGCCGTTTAAATATTTGCTTGTTGTTGGTTGTTGTGGGCCCTCTGTCCGCTTCAAAATCTGGATGTAATTGTTGACTGTGATGTGTGAGGCTACACATTATTCGGCAGCGTTTCCATTATGCGCTCAAACTACAAAGTGGTGGTAAAGGCCCTTCACAGTTTGGTTCCGTTTTTGGTATACACAATGTTATTCAAAGTGATTGCAGGCCCAATTTTACATCTCATGTTTGCCCAGGTTTTAAAGCGACTCGGGATCAAGCATAATCAGTCAACTCGATATCATGCACACAGTCAAAAAGCGTTGGAGCATTTCCATCAGTTGTTAAAATCTTTGTTCCATGTGTTTTGTGTGGAGTTGGACAAAGATATGGAGGAGGGACTTCCACACCTGAAGCTGATAACCTGATGAGGCTGTGCTATCACGTGCCGGGTTTAGCCCTAACGATCTTGTTTTTGGTCAGACCTTTGGCTGTGTTGAAGAATATCCTTGTCTTCTTTGGATGTACCATGTAATTTGATTATGTGACTGGTTTTTGGTATCGCTTATATTCCACAGACTGTTTGGCCTGGGGCAAAACACAGGTTGCCTCAAAGAAACATGAAAGCTCAGTATGATCAGAAAACGGGGTCCATTGTCTTCAGTCCCGGAGATTAGGTTCTCGTTTTGAAACCTCTTGTAAGTTCTCTTTATCAGGCAAGATACTCGGGCCCATTTGTTTTGAGGGAGAGGTTTTCTGTTTTTTTTTTTTGTCATTGATCATCATTTGATCATTGGGTTGGAGGAAGTCCAGGCAATTTTGTCATTTGAACCTGTTAAAACTGTACGATCCATCGGTAGCAGTGACGGTTGGGGTGGTTTGACTCCAGCTCTTAGTGTGGATGTCTAGGGCGTGCTCCAGGGGGATGATGGTGTCCCAGGTCCTGACTACAGTGTGTTCGGTAGAAGATTAAAAAACTCTCGTGCCACCTGGTCTGCTTGATTCTCTCCAGTCTCACCTACTGTACCTGCATCACAGAGTTCAGTTGGTCTTCATGCATTGTTCATGACATTGATCGGGGGGAAGCGTGGCCCAATAGACAGCGTTTCTATTGTATGTCTATGGATAAACTCAAATTTCTGGACAAGGAGGTGGATTACATGGCGTGTAATGGTAGTGCAGTTCCGTCATTGTGGTCTTGAGCCTCTCCTTGCATTTTAGTGCCGAAACATGATAGGACGTTGCGATTTCGCTCGGACATGTGTAAGGTAAATTCGCTAACAAAGACTGATTTGTTTCCTTTGCCCAGGATCGATTGAGTGGGTTCTGCAATATTTGCCACCAAATTAGATTTTTTTAACGGAGTTCCTGTCAGACCAGCCCGCCTCGCGACAAAGTTTGATATGACACAAGCAGGCATAAATTAGACAATTGTCAAGTCACTGAATTGCCACCTGCGCCAGTCAAATGCCATCGGACACCTCCTCGCTATGTTGATATTCGCATTCCCAGGCAAAGATGTACTGGGAATCTTGCACTTTCACAAACATCATGATGTGACAGTTTTTATGCTTGAGTGCAGGTATGAAAGTAGAGCCCTTAATGTTACTGGTTTGCTGTTGGATTGTTCGGAATGTACAATCAATAAAAATTCCAAAAGAGTACATTCAATTCTTGGTAATACTCATTGGTCACATCTTCTGTCTCAACAATCTCTGATAGACTATTCTTATAAGGAAAATGAATGAAAACATCCCTCAGTCAAGTTTTCTGTGTCAAGACTATCTGATAGGCTATAATTGTGTTTCGAAAAGAATGCATAAAATAAAATAAGACATTAGATGGGGCCAGAGAGGAATGATTTTTCAAAGATCATTTGAATTCTCCTATCAGGTCATACAGTGTTTATATATATATAAACTCCCCCTTTGAGTGTGGCTTTCTTCAGCACATTTCCGATACTACATCCAAGGGATCTCAACAAACTCACCAGAGGGCCCATCTCGCCTTTCCGACCTGGCTCCCCTGGTAAACCTGGTGATCCCTGAACCGAGAAATAGAAATAATCCGGTGCTTTATTTTCATTCAGAGAATACTATCATTCACATCAAATAAATAGTGATACATATCCAGTGCCGTGAAAAAGTATTTGCCCTCTTCCTGATGTCTGTGTTCTTCGCATATTTATCACGCACAAAGATTTCAGTTCATCAAACCAATTTTAATATCACACAGAGAAAACCCAAGGAAAATGCAAAATGGAGTTTCTAAAGGGCAATTTAATTTATTTAGACAAAAAATCCAAACCTACCTGTCCCTATGTGAAAAAGTATTTGTCCCCTGAACCGAATAATGGGTTGTGCCACCCTTGGCAGCAGAAACGGAAATCCAGCGTTTGCGATAATTGGGGATGAGTTATTCACGTCGCTGTGGAGGAATTTTGGTCCACTCTTCTTCACAAATTTGCTTTAACTCTGCCATATTGGTAGGTTTTCAAACATGAACTTCCCGTTTAATTAAGGTCATACCACAGCATCTCAACTGGATTCAAATGGGAATTGGCCACCCCAAACCTTGATTTTTTTTTTTTTTTTTTTTTTGCAGCCATTCAGAGGTGGACTTGCTCATGTGTTTCATTGTCCCATCAGTCACACCAAGTTGTCCTGGTCCTGAGGTAGCAATACAGCCATGGAACATCATTCTTCACTGTTGGCATAATGTTCTAATCAAATTCTGTGCCATTTTTACACCAGACACAACAGGCAGCACATGTTCCAAAAAGTTAAATTTTTGACTCATCAGTCCACAGAATGTTTTTCCCAAAGTCTTGAGGATCATCAAGATGTCCTTTGGCAAATGTGAGACCACCCTTTTTGTTATTTTTGGACAGCAGTGATTTTCGCCTGGTAACTCTCCTACGGATGCCATTCTTGGCCAGTGTCATTCTTATGGTAGAATGACACTGTGAAGTCTGGAGTTCTTTGGGTGTTGTTCTAGGTTTTTTTGCGACCTCTTTGATGAGTCGTTGTCGTACTCTTGTAGTAATTTTAGCTGGTTGACCGCTCGTGGGAATGTCTACCACTGTTTCTGGTTTTATCCATTTGTGGGTAATGGCTCAGACAGTGGTTTGCTGAAGCCCCGGAGTTTTGGAAATGGCTTTGTAACCTTTTCCAGACTGATATTAGATTTTTTTTTTCCTAATTTCTTCTTGAGTTTCTTTGGATCATTTGTTTCTTGAGATCATTTATGTCATTTCTTGATTCAACAAATGTGGTTCTACGGGGTTGCCTGTGAAATTGAGCTTAGATTTCCCAAAATGTCATTACTTACGGTTTCTTTTTGATTTAATAAGGGGAGGGGGGCCAATGACGTTATCACATCGAGACATGTAGTTTCTCTGTGATATTAAAATTGGTTTGATGAACTGAAACCTTTGTATGTGATAAATATGCAAAGAACACAGAAATCACGAAGAAGGCAAAAACTATTTCACAGCACTCCACACTGTAAAATTGAGACTTGAAGAGGAAACAACACCGCTCATGGCCGTAATTCATAATATGGTACCTTGCAAAGAAACTATATTAAATGTTAATGTAAGATAAAGTTGAGTTAACTTGCAAATATGTGTCACAAAATATAACATTTAATACTTTGCAGACCTATCCCTGCAGAGGTTTACTGACTTACAGGTGGGCCTGATGGTCCTATAGCCCCACGTGGTCCAGTGGTACCAATGTGTCCCTGAAACATAATATAATATATCAATTATTCATTGATTTTTATTATTATTTTTAACGCTTGTTCAGGGCTATCTAGTAGCAATGACAAATGGACTGTGTGTTGTGCTGCTTTGGAAAAAAAAAAACTTTGGCCGATAGCTTATGGTCATGTAATGCACCACTTTGTCATCTCTTGATATAACAGTACATGTAGTTTTTAATTATAATCTAAATCTTAACATTTTCTAAATGTCATTAATCATTGACACTATATTTACAATAATGATATGTTACTAGTTAAGACACAATGTACATTTTTTCATGGAACTGAAGTACTGTATATATGTTTATTATTATAATAGCCTCTCTTTGCTGATTTCCTAGTGTAAATGTTGTTGGTTGTTGGTGGTGGAATTTGGCGCCTGATGATGTGCAATACGTGCGTGCACGAGGACCGACTGCACATTTCACACTTTCATCGAGAGTCGATCAGCGATGTTCTGTGCATCCAAATCGGACATGATCTAAAATTTTGAGACGCCAGAGATAAACAAATTCATTTTACTAATCAAAAACTGTATACTATTTATCCTGCTCATCTAAAAACAACAGAATATGTACGTATTCCAAAGTATTTTTAGTGTACAATTTCATTTTTGCCCTTATGGTTGTTTGTCTCTTTGCGTCCGGTGATTGGTAGGGCGACCAGTTTACGCTGCCTCTCGCCCAGAGACAGCTGGAATAGGCTCCAGCGCACCCGCAACTCGAATGAGAATAAGCAGTTCAGAGATATTCAATATTTAATTTGCATGATTTAATTTTTGTCCCGTGTGACCCAGCAATTGACGAGACACCACTGAGCCACTCCATGATTATAATAAAAATGCTTAGTACATATACAGTAGTAGACAGCCTTATAATGGTCTATTTTTTTGCAGCTGTAATCAAATACAAAGATTCCTGTACATGATTTTGCCACTCTGGTTCTATGGGCATTTGTTAATTCAATATAATGTGTTTTCAAATTTTGCCAGACATTTATGTCAATCCTGTTTTTCTTTTTTTTCTACCTGATATCCTTCATCTCCTGGTTCTCCTCGATCGCCCCTTCCTCCAGGTGTCCCCTGTTTAAAAACAAATGTACTCAAAATAAACTTCAAAATGTTCCATGAACTAATACAGCTTAAAATAATGTAAGGACTATATTAACACTTCAACAATTATATGATCTATGACTAGAGCCTAATTCAGTGGTGTCCAAAAAAACTACCATTTGGGCCATTTGGAAACCAGTGCCTGTTTTTCGTGTAACCCACTGCCCATTTTTTCGTGGTCGTCGGCTTGTACTAGAAATACTGTCACCTTTCAAGCAGCCTGTGTTATTTGACTGCATTGGACTCCTTACCGTGTGATTCCCTGACAACTTCAACAACTACGACTACTAACTCTAATTAATTTGTTTTATATAAAGTGTCATTTTAGACATGCAAAAGTGCAGAGAAAGAAACTATTTCAACAACGTAACATTTCAATTCCTAATTCTTCCGTGGGATAAAAGCAATTTAGTTTCTATTTCCATTACTATTGTTGTGAAGCAGAATTCACCAAGCGTTGGCAGCTCACACCTGCAACATTAAAGGCCACATGAGGACATCATGAACAGCGAGCCTATATAAGCTTTTGAGGCTACACAATTAACAAACCATAAAAAGATTGAGTAACAATCGAGGAAGAAGCAATTTGCCACAGAAAGATGACATGGGTGAAACAATACAAATCCTTCATGTATTTGTATGGATTGGGTAACACTCTCGTTCACTTGTTGGGTACATGTTGAAGCTTATGTTTACTTGCATTTCCCTTTTTAACAGCTATTGCATATAATCGCCAAACCGCACAAACTAAACCATGTCACAGACTCATTTTGACCTATGATATGGATACAACAGTGGAAAAGTTAATATTTTGATGGCATGGGACCTTGAAAGAATCGCATATAGATACACAGTATAAAGTACATATAATCGCTGAGCATATCTTTAGCTACACTGAAAGGTTTTACAATGTTTCATAAATTAAAGGTGAAGAAGTTAAAGTGGCCCTCGCATAAATGTGGTCTTTGAAGGTTTGGACACACCTGGTGTTATTGGATTGGTATAACTTCATCATAAATCCAATTTACAGGCAAATGTGTCTTTGTGGGATTAGAGCTGTCAGGTCTTACCTCTAATTGATGAACTAACTAAGAGGGTGTGTCCTAGAACATTAGTCCATTAAGTGTATGTCATGTAAATGCGTTTACTTTGTGGCAAAAAGCGTCACTTTGATTCCCATAACATTGTTATTATTTTGTTTTTGTTGTCATTTTTTTCTTTTTTTTTTCCGGACGTGTTTAAATGGAATGTGGGGGTTATGACATCAGAAATTATTTTGAAAGCAAAGCAAGACCTACTGGTTCACCTAAGGGCCCTGGATGTCCTGGGGTCTTATTGTCCTCGCCTGGATAACCCTGAAATAGAACAAATACGGTACAAACATAAACTTTTACCTCCCGACTAATGAGCTTGACAGAAGCATAAAATTAGAAAAATGAAAGGTGTTCGGTCCATGTTACCTTTTCACCTTTGGGGCCTGGGGGTCCAATGGGCCCCTGCTTACCAGGATGACCCTGAACAGACACACAAAAAAATCAGAATATGAATCACAATTATTTAATAAAAATGCACACTTCTCAACTTTCAATTACCAAATCTCGTACTGTAGTATGGAAAAACCAAAATGTAGCTCATGACACACTTGACTTTTGAATTGTTTGGAGTTTTATCATCAGTAAGCAGTTGAGGTGATATAATAAAAAATAGAGTACTGAAAATACAGACATAAATATTGGTGATTATTTTTTTAAATGTCGGAAGTGAAAGGATCAGCATGTACAGTAATCCCTCGCCACTTCACGCTTCATGTTTTGTGGCTTTGGTGCTTGGTGGGGTTTTCCAAAACAATGTAATCAGCCGAAGCAATGGGTCCCGGGTAAGTGGGCGCTGGTCCCTTCACGGATGGCACAATTAACAGGGATACATTGCTTCAACGGTGGGGCTGGTTTGCCGATTGGGGAGCCTTATTTTAAAGGTTTTCCAACCCGGTTAGCTGTTTTTTAGACATGTCACAAGGAAGCAGTGACAGCTCAGACGAAGTCTGAAGTGACAGCCAAAACTGTCAGCTCGGTTAGAGTTTCTTTCTTCACTAAAAAAGACTATGGTCTGATAAAAAAGAAACTTTAAACCAATTTCAACTAAGAAGAAGACAAGAAGAACGTCAGAGCACGACCCATCACCATGTTTTTCTCCAATTTAAAAACCTCGGCTACACCAACAGTGAACCTAAAGCCTGTACTAGTCAAGTGACAGCTGCCTTCAACGCCACCAACACAAGTCTATTTGCTTCTCTCAGAAGGCTATTTTGATGAATTACTGTGAAGGCTTTATAATAAACGATTTAAGGATAACCCTACCTTTTGATTCTCACCTTTCACGGGGGATTTCTGGTCCCTATTAACTGCAAAAGGCGAGGGATTACTGTAGACCTAAAATGTCTCATTTGGATTTGTGTTCGCTTTTGGTAATGATTATCAGATTAATCAATTACAAAAACTGTGAGGAAGCCACCAGACTGAGAAAGCCAGTGTCTGAATTTATGGAGACAAACCAGAACAACACTCCGGCATACTGAAGCTCAGGATATCAGGTTATTTGCTTCACACATTTTTGAATCATTGTATCCTAATTCTGTGGCGATGTGATATTTATGTACGGCCATGTGTGAGATTTTGCACTTTGTGCAAATATGTTCATATAAAACCACAAGGAGAACAACTCACCGTATATCCTGCCAATCCCGGCTGCCCTTCCATACCGGTGATGCCAGGCCGACCCTTAAAATAAAAACGAATTTAAAAAAGAACACACAAAATTGTGGCTCAGAGCTTGTGGCTATACTGCGGTTTAGCGAAATATCAACCTGGCCTCAACCACAAGCACATGCTGCGGTTTTACGATGAGCAGATAAATCTTTTCTCTTCACCTAACACAACATGTTTAAAATGGGTTTGGACAAAAAAAAACTGTTTTTGTCAAGAAATGGATTTTCAAGAATGTATTCCCACCACCTGGAATTTCCTCTTATTTTTATACGCTCTCAAGCCTAAAAAAATGTTGTATTTATTCCATTCAAGACTGGCAATTGGGAAACAATTTTGTGACAGTGCTTTACTTAATTGTATAAAAGAAGTACATTTGCATGACTGAGTCCTCATGACCGTTTTTGTTGTACAATGGGCAATGACAATAAATATTCAAATTCTCATTCCAGTTGTATATTTAAATACCCGAGATGCTATCCTGGACGGGTGTCATCGTCTAATGTTCCTCTGTGCTAATTATATTCGGATTACAAACATTGCACTTAACTGATACAGTTTCAATATTTAGGGGACCTGGCGAATTCATTCATTCAATGTTCTGAACAGGCTTTCAACACTTTATCCGAAAACTTAAAATCACATAAAAGGAAGAAGAAGTGGGAACTAACAGGAGGCCCTCGAGTTCCTCTGGCACCTTTTGGCGCCGTCTCGCCTGGTAGGCCGATGTCTCCACGGTCTCCAGGTTCACCAACAAGACCAGAAGGACCTCTCTCACCCTGGGTAAAAGGATGGTTTTGTTAGCATCACATTTGACCTAAAAGGATATAACACACAGGAAATTGAGCTTGTTAGTAATGTTTTCTATTTGGGTACCTTCTTTCCACTCCGTCCCCTATTTCCTGGGGACCCTAGTTTACCTTCTGGCCCCTGTAATGAAAAAATACCGGGCACAAAATCAAGGTTATTGATTAAAGAACACTAATTACAATGAAACCCCACATATTTGTGGGTTGGTGTTCATGAATCCCCCTATATGCACGTTTTGGGGGGAACCTGTCTTCCATTATTAGCTGAAATTGTTTATGACTTTTGTGCTCAGGGTAAAGTTTTAAAAGCACTACTTTGTCTCTATCGCGTGGTAACTTGGTGCCAAGGAACTACAGTCAGTTGAAATGAATTGAGGAGCTTTATTCAGACTGTGCTTCGCTGCTATCTTATAACATCCTTGAGCAATTACAAACACTTGTAGAGCAGGTGTCAATTATTCAAGCATTTTCTGTACTTCACGGCAGATCTCTGTCTTTATCCCTGCAGATGTGTACATGAGCTGTGAGACCAAATGATGTCATATCATCAGGATGAATGATTTTGTGTCACTCTGTGTTCTTTTGTATTTGTTTTGTTGGTAGAAACAGAAGTTCTGACCGGGTACATTTTTATGTCGTTTTTGACGTGTATAAATTGTACAAATGGTCAGAATGTTATGGCTGATTAGTGCATCAGACAGGAAGCTACAATTTTTCCTGACACAAGTGAACTTCTCTGGATCTACAAAACTTCCTTTGGTGTGTATGTAATGTGTTATAGCTCAGATGGCATCCATCAGAGGCGCCTCAATTTCTTGTGTAAATGTAGTAAAGAGCGACCTCTGCTGGTGTACAGTGGCATTATTTTGGCTAGGACCAACAAATGCCCATTTTTTTTAGCTAAAATAAAAAGTTATTATTATGAGTATATGAATTTAAAAAAAAAAACATCACGCATTCAATAAATATACAAGATCTTTTATTACACCAGCATTTATTTCCTTCAGTGTGCAGTTTTTGCTGTATCTACCAATTATGGTTAAAAACATTAACTATACGTACACGAAAGCCCTGTTTCCCCGGTTGTCCAGGTGGCCCTGCAGGTCCCGGGACTCCTTCTATCCCTTTGTCACCTGGCTCTCCTCCTGGCCCACACTCGCCAGGCTCACCCTGAATTGGAGCCCAGACCAAAGTCAAATCAGCTTCAGATATTAAAGCTTGGATACTTATATTTTAACCCTTAGATGCATGAGTGACTGGACCCTACACTCTTCCATAGGTGGGTGAAAAATGACCCATAATACAATCAATGCTTTTTTTAATGACATTTTTGTCATTTTGGTTAAGAATAATCACTTGTATAAAATTTAGTAACATATTTAGGACCATACAGGAATGATTTCAAGTTTGAAATATCTCTATTTTTAATTTTTTAACATTTTTGAAAAATAAAAATTCCCCAGAACAGCAATAGAAAAATGCGTACATCCATTTTGTGTGTGTGTGTGTGTGTGTGTGTGTGTGTGTGCGCGCGCGCGTGTCTGTCTATCTGTGTGTATGCATTGCCTGTTTTGCCTTCTTGTCTCATCACTGTATGCAATTCAGACAAACTACCTGTTTCTGGCAGTGATCATTGCACACAGGTACATTGCATTTCCCACACCTATTGCTGACTTTGCGATCTTCGTTACTTGGGCAGATCTGACACCTTTTTCTCTTTGGTTGGCCCTGTGTATTTCTTTCCTGTGTCTGGGTAGTGGCTTTTGTCACGCCTCACCTTTTCATTGCTTCAATAATTGGGATTTGCAGTTGGGTGCAGCTTTCCAGTCGACTCCTCATGTGTGGTGTGACAAGCTCCTTTGACAGCTCTTTGAGGAACAGCCGTCGTGCATTGGTGATTTGGTGATGCCACTCTTGAAATCTGGGTGCTGAGCCATGAAAAAGGTGTAGGCATTTAGGGTGCTGATGTCAATTATGTTGTACCATCGCACCATGGGCCACCTCTGTGTTTGCCGCTTGCACGTGTAGTTGCCAACCATCTGGTCAATGGTGTCTACACATCCATTTGTCTCGTTGTAAAATTTGATTACTTCTGTTTTTTTCTTTTTGCTATCTTCATCCTCTGCTTTGTCGTGGTGCATCGTACTCAGGAGCACAACAGCTTTTCCTTTCTTTCTGACATAGCTGACCATGGTAAGGCTGTCGTTGAATCCAAACTCTGTGCTGTAAACCTCCCTGGACTTGGAAGGCTTCATCAGAGGAGGGATGTCTGGCTTGTTCTGACGTAGAGTCCCCACAATAGTGAGCTCCTTCTCCAGGAGATGCTGCGCGAGTGGCACACTGGTGAAAAAGTTATCCATGGTGATGTTGCGACCGGTGTTTCTAAATCTACCACACAACTGCTGGACAATGTTTTCGCCCAGATTCTTCTGAACGTCTTCTTCCGGTTGTCTCCCCGTGTAACCTATACCATCTATTGCATAGGGGATGCGTGCATCACAAACCCAGAAGATCTTTAGGCCGTACTTGGCAGGCTTGCTTGGCATGGACTGTAGAAACTTGCACCTACCCCTGAATGACACAAGCTGTTCGTCCACAGTGACACAATCACTGGGGATGAATCGCTCTCTGCAGTTGACCAGGAAAAGGTCCCATACATAGCAGAAGGCTGCCATGTGATCTGTTTCCAGTCGGAAGGCCAATTTGTAGATAAATAATAGTCATGAACGACACACAAACAATTTTATATGAAGATAATACTTACACGTATCAGCTCTTACAGTGTAAAATAATCTTCCTGAGGGGTGACACTTCTGATATTATAGTCTGCGTGGTCCGCAGTCAATGTATTGCTGACAGCCAAAGTCGATTAGAATCAGTGGTTCCCATTGGATTCCATAGAAAATGTACACGGGTCACTATTGACCCATTTATGAAAACTTGGGGTAGCAATACAAAAACTGAAATTTCTTAAAATGTGTAAAATGTAAGTTGAAATTGTAAATGACATTATATAAAAAACATGTTTTTTGAGGAATACCTGGAATATGAAATGATAATAAATTTTCAGTCCGAAGATATTTCAAGAAAAAAACCTCACCAGGTCATTTTAGACCCACATATGCATCTAAGGGTTAAATTGAGAATAAAAACTGTTCTGGCAATTTTTGTAAGGGCATCTTATCACTTTCAAAGCAGGTTCTGACATTGAGTAGACGATTTATTCAATCTATTGTGGTCAAATTCAGTATATTATGGCATTAACACTGAACTATCTTTCATGATTAAAAAAAAAAGAAAGAGGACTGTCATAACGCGCCTAGTTAAAAATAAATAAATCTACCGAGCTGTAATATATAACATGGAATGATTTTATTTATTTATTTATTTTACCTTGGGTCCATCATTTCCTTGAGGACCAGCTTCGCCAGGCGGACCAGGGGCACCCTACAAAGACATTATTTATAAAATACTATTTAAGTTTTACATGTTGAACAATTGAGATACCACTGCAAAGTACAACTTGAAATGCACGGTTATAAAACAACAACAACTGACCCGCCAGACCTCCACCAATTTTTTTAAAATTATATATTAGCTACATATGGCAGACAAATTAATGGCACTACAAAACAATAGTGTCCGAACAATTAATTAATTAATTATTACTTGACATACTGCACAAATGCAGACAATGAAAAAGTGAGAGGAAGAAAAAAGGACAATCTGGTAGGTTGGAAGAGAAGAAAGGAAATGAGAAAGAAATTACAAAAGAAGGGGAAAAGAAGAAATGTGAGAAAACAATAGTCAAAATTGTATATGGCCTTTATAATAACACTGCTCAACAGCAAGTTTTCATCAAAGGTGGCTTTATGTGTTCCCAAATGTATTTGGGATGCTGATTTAAAACATGTCTTCACTTTTTTCTGACAAAGAAGTCAAAAGTGTTGTGAGCGACTGGCTGAGACATCAGTGCCAAGATTTTTACGCCGAGGGAAGCTTGTGAACAGATGGGAAAAGTGTGTGACAGTGCAGGGAGACTACAGTGGAAAAAAAAAAAGTAAGCTTCTCTCTGTATTAGAAGTCCTTCTACCAAAAAAGAAAAAAAAACATATTTATTGAATGACCTTCATATTTAAGAAAGTTATCTACTCTAAAGTAGCGTTCGTTTGTATGAACAAAAATGAGCCTTCATCTGTGACCTGGGTGCATCAGGCAGCATTCAGATATTTTCCATTTACTGTATAAACAGCAAATTTTGCTCCAGAAGTTCCATCAGAGAGGTCTAAAATGCTGAGGTAAATGTCCCTCAAGCAGCAAAGAAAAAGTAACTAAGCCAGTCTGAGCCAAACAGCATTCAGGAATTAGCAGTAGTAATATGACTGCTGATGGCATCTGGTGCTGTTCAGAAAAGCTGGGGAATTTCAACTTTGCACGAGCTGCAACACATTGTAATTCAGTGATAGGTGGGTCAAAGAAACTGTGAAAATATCTGACAGACCTGGAAGGCCATCCTAATTTTTGTGGCAAGTGCCAACAAGTTTGTAACAAGTTTGGCACCACCTACTGTTCAACATCATATATCGCTGACATAGAACCCTGCTATATCTCTAGATTTAGTCAGTATCTTTTTTCTTTTATACACAAATCTATAGTATTGATCAATCCCCACCGTGGGTCAGCTATATTTCCAAATTAGTGACCAATCTAAAGTTCTGGAAATGGGATGCTCTCTTTGATGATCTAATGTTAGTGGCTCAACAATTTTTATTTGTTTTTGTTAGATTTCCTGAAAAGTAAAAAGAAAGAAAGACATACTATTTTTGGCCCATGTTGCAATATCATTTAGGGTATTGTGCATCTTTTCAACCGATGCTGACTCGGAAAGGCTACAGCTTCCCGTACCCTAAATAAGGACAATCAAACCTCAGTTTTCGAACGTCTCTGTTCTCGACCAAATCGGTTTTCGACCAAAAATTTCGAGTTTTTTATGCCTCGGATTACGACCGAAAATCGGTTATCGACCAAAGTGAGCGCACTTGAATGCGCCACTTGACTCCTCTCGCCTTCCTTACACGAGGAAGTGACGCTTCCTCATGTAGCGTTCCATTGTAAGCAGACGTGTTCAATCAAGATTTTTTTTTTAAAAAGATTGTGGTTTCGGTTTTCGAACAAATCGGTTTTCGAACAGCCTTCTGGAACGATTATTGTCGAAAACCGAGGTATGACTGTATACAGTATCCAGTAGAATATGGCTGAATGGGTTGAATTGCTGAACTAATGTGTTCTGGACTCCTATGAGCGTCATATCCAAGAGGAATCACTGTCATTTTAGATATCAGAGTCTGAATTTGTACATATATTTTGAATAAACAAATAAAAACAAAAATCTGATTTCACAGCAAATAATTAAAACGCCTATTTATGTGGAAAATACGAGCAGCAAAATGCCAATGCCTGCAGACGCATTTTTGTTATTTGTTACTCATGCACAAGGTGCTTCACATAATTAAAAGTACATTTAAAAGCATTTACAAATTAAAGATTTAAAGGCATTTCAAAACAAAGTAGCAAAGTATTAGACACAAAAAAAAAAAAACATTGAATGAATATATAACCGTCTTCGATTCTACACAAAGAAAGGGAAGGTTATTAGTATCCCAAACACATTCAAAAGTCTCAAGTTACTCACTCTAATTCCTTCTTGTCCCTGCTCTCCATCGGCTCCCGGAGGCCCAACATCGCCCTATGAAGACCCAACACAAACTTAATCGCGTGCACGTCGGCCGACCTGGACTGAACAACGTGTTCGACTCAGTCAGGCTACGACTAAATTACAGTAGGTACAAACTAAGTGCAAGAGCAGGTTCAAGGGTTTTCCACATTGCTGGAGGGTGCTACACAATGAATATCCAAATATTGTTTTATGCTGCAGAGGTGCCTGCAATAACATTGTTTTACAGACCTTTAGCCCTGGCTCTCCGACAGCACCTGGTTCCCCCTCGACACCAGGCCCACCCTGAGGGAACGGAGAAGAATAGGCATTCAAAATGAAGTCCAACAAATATTAAAATTGATTAGAGAATATTCACAGAAAATTACTTCAGGCCCTTGCTCTCCATCAGGTCCTGCCTCTCCAAGAGGTCCTCTGGGTCCCTACAAGAAAATCGACATTGTAAAATTAAAAAAAAAAAAAAAGTTATAAAGTCATTGCTTGACTTCTTGCAGAAACATGGGAGTACATCGGCGGAACAGACATAATACACAAATCTAACAGGCAACGCTCAAACAAACATAAACAGTGCAAAAGAGGAACCCGATAACATCGACAGAAGCAAGATGAGACCCATAACTAATACCTCCTCTTGCGCTATGGAAACCTCACACCTTAACAAATATTTTTTGATTGTTTGACATTCTTGATTTCCCCGAGGGCTCGGCTGACTTCCAGGAATATTAAAATACTTTGGCCCAGCTCCGAAAGGGGAGGCCTTAGGTATGGAAGTCTGGATGTGTGAGAAATGCCCAGTGTAAAACAAAGGCAAATCTAGAACAATGCCTTTTGTTTTCCACTCCAGCAGTTGCAAGGCTGCTAACAATCCACTTGAAACAACATGCGCATGCAATGACTCTTTTGGTGCACATCAACACAAAGAGTTATTATAGTTTCCAGATGGCTTTCACAATTGGTGGCAATGGGAAAGAAGGCATACTTACAGCCTCACCGTGGGGTCCCCTCTCCCCTGTACTTCCTGGAATACCTGCCTTACCCTAGAGACACGCACAGCATCAGACATGAACTTGCACAATCAGATCCGATGAAGCAACCTCGACTTCTACTCCGCACGACATTCATCATTAGACAAAGACAAACAGGATGAGTGTGTCTGCTATTCCAGTTCTCTTTGATGCTCACACATGGGATGGTAACACACATACCACATGGGCCGTCTTGCAATGCAAGAAGGCCTTTGTTGAAGTCTAGACATTGTGTTGGCAGGCGGAGACCGGGCACTAATTTGAAACAATATTCAGTCTAATATTGACAGAGTAGTCTTACAAACTCAATGCATTCGTCCTAACAATATCAACTGAAAAATGTTGACAGTAGTTTCCATTCACTGAGTTGAGTGAGAGGATAAATGTGCTGTGGTTAGCTGGCTTGAGTAAATGGTGATGATGGAAGAGACTTTTTGAATAACTGAGGTAGCGAAGCCACAGCATTCATCATCGCGTTAATGTGAATCCAGCTTCAATCAATTCTTCAATCATTATATTCATGCAGAAATCAACACAAAACTATCAGGCCTCCAGAAAATGTGTTATTTTTCCCCCAATCACTAGATGGCGCTAGCTATCCAGAGGCAATGAAACTGCTGGGTCATTCTACATCGTATGTTATTTAAAGAAAAAAAAAGGTTTTTCCATGTTCATATTGGTAGATATGACAATTTTGTTATTTTGCAATTTTTGCTTCTTTCCCCTTTAAAATGTTCAAAATAAAAACAAGAGCAATAGTTTTTATCTGCTGCACTGCGCATAATCTCATTCATTACAACATTGGTTAAAACTGAACAACCTGAGGAGAAACACAAAGAAACTATCAGATTCTTGTGTTCACATTGATATTGATACTAGACTTACTTTGAAATGATACACTCTCCGAATTAATTTTTTTGCTAATTTTAGTTTGTAATGCCACTATCAGAGATGGGCAATTCATCCTATTTGGCCGGTCTGTCCTCCGTTCGCGACCTAGGCACCCTTCCGTCATCGTACAACAGGCCAGCACACAATTTGATTTATTGTGAAACAGTGTGGATCACTTTACACACAAAAACTGTAAATTATGAACTGCCGCGAAGTACTTCACCCAGTTAGGGACAATTATAGGGATGGACAAAAACCAACTTCCGTCCTTGCTTAGTCCGTCCTTTTTTCAAAAAAAAAACTTCTCATCCTCCGTCCCCAAAATGGGCCTCTGCCTGGGACGGAGAGAAGGACCGTTCTGTCCCAGAGAGGGAATGCCCTTCTTGCTGGCGTTGTTGCTCTTCATCAGCGATAAACACATTTTCAAACACCTGCACGAAGCAACAGCCATACAAAGCACAGCTACATAAATTGAAGTATCTGTTTAAATTCACTGATATTGTGTTTTAAAGGTAGATTTATTTATAATCCCTGATTAGGTAAACACAATTAAGATTACCGGGAAATAATCTATCCCATATCCATCCAGTTGATGACAGTAATATAAGAATATGTCACAAAAATTGTAGGTTGTTGATATGCAATGTTCTATGAATTCCTTTGAAACATGATTGATGAAAATACACAGCTAATGGACTGAATCATGATTGTATTCCAATTAGGCTGCCTCTCTGGCTACATAGGCCATAAATCAATGACTATTTTATTCATCTTTAATATGCAATCAACACGCACGCACGCACGCACGCACGCACGCACGCACGCACGCACGCACACACACACACACACACACACACACACACACACACACACACATACAAGCAAAACTGAACACACACACACACACACACACACACACACACACATTCAAGCAAAACTCAGCAAATACTGAATAAAGTTCAAGTTTCTCACAGGCTTCCCAGGCGGGCCTCTCTCTCCTCGAACGCCAACTTTGCCCTACAAAGTAAGAAAGAAGCGTTTGGAGAGATTTGACATCCATTCTCTGAACACGTTGCACGAATACACACAACTGACTATGTCATGATCCTTGACTAAATATATATAAATCAGCCATTTGTCTACAGTGTTCCAAAGAAGAAGTCATCTTATGAGTTAGTAATCATTGTGTGTGGTCTACATATGAGCAACTTCTATTTATAGTTTGTTGTGGATTTCATTTTTATTTTCTGACTTCCCAGACTGAGTTCCACCCGCTCATAAAAGTGGCTCTCCTGATGATACTAAACAGACCTTGAATGACTACAGGCTGCTCGGAGGAGCGAAAGTTCTGAGCTGCATTATACGGTATCCTGTTGTGAATAAGAGAGTCAAGCTAACAGGAGCTGAAGCACAAGCCATTGTCTTTCTTAGCTTTTACTCAATCCCATAATACTGAACTTGAACCTAAGAGTTTGGAACGATATAATAACATGTAAATATGTACCTTCAAAGGACACATGCTTGTAAACCAAGGATGCAGGATAATACTTTTTTTAGTTTTCTTTATTTTTTTGATGACACTAGTTATTCTTGGCTGCCTGGCAACCAGTTCAGGGCGTCCCCCGCCAACTACCCGAAGGCAGCTGGGATAGGCTCCAGCATGCCTGTGACCCTTGTGAGAAAGCGGTTCAGAAAATGGATGGATGGATTATTCTTGGCTTTAGATCACAAATGTCAAACTCAAGGCCTCAAGACAGATACAGCCCTCCTCATCATTTTAAGTGACCTTTTCTGCAATGTTTTCATGACTTTTGAATTAGGTGCATTGAAGGAGGAAAACACGCAAAACTGGCTGGATAAAGGCTCTCGAGGAACCGACTTTAGGTAGTATTTTACAATCAAAATAAATTAACTTTTTGACCTCTATTAAGCCATCACGTCACTCATCATCAAGATCTCCACCTTCCACTATATTCTACAGCAGTGCGTTATGCATGTTGTCAATGACAGTTATGCAGCGTCAGAAGATGCACAACTTAGATCCGTCCGCTAGTCCATGCCAAGACCGTTCCTGGACCGAAAATAGTACATAAAGAGAGGTGATTGTTCTCTGAAAATTGTATTCGTAATTCAAATTGTGCGTAAAAATGGATATTCTAAGTCGAGGTTCCATTGTATTTTCCAGCAGTCTGGATGCCCTGAGGTCCCATGCTGCCTCTAACAGGTCAGTCTTGGAACTACAGCAGACATTTGGTTGTGTGGGTATGGTGTGTTGTGTTGTAAACAACACACTACAGGAGCCGTTAAGCACCCAATTGCCATGTTTTTTTCTCTTTTTTTCATTGTAACATGTTGGGTCACTCACATTTTAAAGAATGATAAAGATGTTCAAAATCTTTCTTTTTATTATTACAAACATGTTTGCACTGTGGTTGAGAGAGGAAAATAATTTCATCTGTGCTGTATGTTACACATAGAGCATATCTGACAATAAAAGCTGACTTGACTTGACTTGACCTGTAAGTTTTTACTTACAATAAATCCTGGTTCTCCGTTTACCCCAGGATCACCAATTTCTCCCTGAAAAGGAGAAGATGCCAAGATGAATGAAAATATCAGACACCAGTGACAACAAATCATATTCAGTTTTCACCTTTTTCATCTTTTGTAATTTGGATAGGGACAGCCAAGGTTCCGGGACAGATTTTGCTAAAGTGTGTGTTTACCTTGGTGCCCTCAGGGCCTGGTTCTCCCAGCGGGCCATCAGGACCTCGAGGCCCCTAAGAGTGGCACAATGTCATGAATCAAAGAATGTACATTTTGCATCAAACCGTCACATTCAATTCTACTAGCAAATTCCGAAAATAAAACATTAGAAGTCCTAATGACATTGCAACTGCTTGGAAGCCCCCACAAACATCACTAGAATTGTTTGATCATCTCACAAGAAAAGTAACGGATACAGATGTTTTTTTTTTTTAATCCTATTGACAAACCCCTAAAAGCAGATGTTTTGTTTGTTTTTTCCTAATCCTATTTGCTTGTCTTTTAAATCTGTTTCTTCCCAGGATCTGCTTCCATTTAGACTTTAAGGCAGACCCTTATTCCTCTGATGTTACTGTAATGCCTTTAAGCTTCAGACAAATATGGTCCACTCTTTACCTCACACATATATATATATTATGTAAAATGTAAAAAAAAAAAACAGAATACACATCATTTTCAACATATATTCTTTTGAATGCACTCCAAGGGCAAGCTGATGAATGTTATTTATATATTTGTTTGTTTGCTTATTTAATATTATTTTACTCTCTCATCATGGGCAGTATCGTGGATGACTGGTAAGCACATTAACTTCACAATGCAGAGATCGTGGTTTTGGATTATGCCTGCTTAGGTTTTCTCCGTGAACTCCTGTTTCTGCCCACATTCAAAAAACATTCACGGCAGGTTAATCCAAGACTCTAAATTGTCCCTCGATATAAATATCAGTGTGAATGGTTGTTTGTCGATGTATGCCCTGTGGATGTACACTGCATCTCTCAAGCCCGCAACTCTGCCGAAGATAAGAGAATGGATGGATGGATGATCTCGTTTTGAATTTGATACCTGAAACACATTCCAAAAAGCTGGGACAGGGGTAAAACAAACAAGCAAACTTAGCTATAACAGGGAACACTCAAAAAACAGTGCTTGGAACATTCTACAGGTGAACAGGTGAATTGGAAACTGGTGACTGTCATGATTAGATATAAAGGGAGCATCCCTGAAACGCTCACAAGCAAGGATGTTCACAACCAAGGATGGGTTCTTTGTAACTAAATGCATGAGCAAATAGTTCAACAGTCTAAGAACGTTTCACAATGTGCACTTGCAAGGAATTTAGGCATTTCTTCATCGTCCTTAATATCCTCAAAAGATTCAGAGAATCTCAGAAACCTCTGCATGTACGCAGCGAGGTCGAAAATCAGCATTGGATGCCTGTGAAATGTGATCTATCAGACGGCAGTACATTAAAAATCAGCATCAGTATGTAACACCAGAACACCAGAAAACCATTGTCATTTTTACTCAATTTGTTCTACAAATGCAAATTAGAACTGCATGCTAAGCAAAAGCCATAGATTAACAATACTCAGAAACTCCAGGCTACAGTCCAGCCGCGATGGACTGATGCAGTGTGGAAAAGTGTGCTGTGGACTGACGAGACCACATGTATCATGTTGGGGGAAATCATGGACGTTGTTCTCTCCAAAGAGCAAAGAGGAAACACATGTAATTTTAAGGGAGAACATTAATTCAGGAAATGTACTTACTATAAAATGACCTAGACTGGGATGAAAGATTTTCTCCATCTTTCACCGGACTAGAGTCACATATTTAACATGGGTGCATTATTGTGTACTAGCTAGATGTATGATGTTGATGCTTTATGATTCTCTGTTTTGTGTGTGTGTGTGTGTTGTCACCGTCTTGTGGCAGATAGATAGATAGATAGATAGATAGATAGATATATATATATATAGATAGATAGATAGATAGATAGATAGATATTCCAAAATCATGCACGGCAGTTTAATTGTCCCTAGGTGTGAATGTGAGCGTGGATGTTTTTTTTTTTCTCTGTGTGCCCTGCGATTGGCTGGCAACCGGTTCAGGGTGTCCCCCGCCTACTGCCTAAAGGCAGCTGGGATAGGCTCCAGCACACCCCGTGACCTTTGTGAGCATAAGCGGATCAGAAAATGGATGGATGAATGGATGTCCTACAAAACCCAATTTCAATGAAGTTGCAATATTATGTAAAATGTAAAAAAAAAAAACAGAATACACATCATTTTCAACATATATTCTTTTGAATGCACTCCAAGGGCAAGCTGATGAATGTTATTTATATATTTGTTTGTTTGCTTATTTAATATTATTTTACTCTCTCATCATGGGCAGTATCGTGGATGACTGGTAAGCACATTAACTTCACAATGCAGAGATCGTGGTTTTGGATTATGCCTGCTTAGGTTTTCTCCGTGAACTCCTGTTTCTGCCCACATTCAAAAAACATTCACGGCAGGTTAATCCAAGACTCTAAATTGTCCCTCGATATAAATATCAGTGTGAATGGTTGTTTGTCGATGTATGCCCTGTGGATGTACACTGCATCTCTCAAGCCCGCAACTCTGCCGAAGATAAGAGAATGGATGGATGGATGATCTCGTTTTGAATTTGATACCTGAAACACATTCCAAAAAGCTGGGACAGGGGTAAAACAAACAAGCAAACTTAGCTATAACAGGGAACACTCAAAAAACAGTGCTTGGAACATTCTACAGGTGAACAGGTGAATTGGAAACTGGTGACTGTCATGATTAGATATAAAGGGAGCATCCCTGAAACGCTCACAAGCAAGGATGTTCACAACCAAGGATGGGTTCTTTGTAACTAAATGCATGAGCAAATAGTTCAACAGTCTAAGAACGTTTCACAATGTGCACTTGCAAGGAATTTAGGCATTTCTTCATCGTCCTTAATATCCTCAAAAGATTCAGAGAATCTCAGAAACCTCTGCATGTACGCAGCGAGGTCGAAAATCAGCATTGGATGCCTGTGAAATGTGATCTATCAGACGGCAGTACATTAAAAATCAGCATCAGTATGTAACACCAGAACACCAGAAAACCATTGTCATTTTTACTCAATTTGTTCTACAAATGCAAATTAGAACTGCATGCTAAGCAAAAGCCATAGATGAACAATACTCAGAAACTCCGGGCTACAGTCCAGCGGAGGTGGACTGATGCAGTGTGGAAAAGTGTGCTGTGGACTGACGAGACCACATGTATCATGTTGGGGGAAATCATGGACGTTGTTCTCTCCAAAGAGCAAAGAGGAAAAAGACTATTTGGATTGTGATCAATGCAAGTTCAAAAACCACCTGTGATAGTATGGGGATGTGTTAGTGCCCATTGCATGAATAACTTAATGAATGAATAACACATCTGCGATGGGCCCATTCATGCTGAAAGGTACATACATAAACTTGCCATCCAAGCAATGTCTTTTTCAGGGACGTCCCTGCTTAATTTTTTTTCAGACAATGCCAAGCCACATTCGGAACGTGTTACAACAGTGTGGCCGTAGTAAAAGTGTGCAAGTGTTCGACTGGCTGCCAGCAGCCCAAACCTGTCTCCCATTGAAAATGTGGGGTGCATTATGAGAAGCAGAATACAATAACAGTGACCCCTGCACTGTTGAGCAACTGAAGTTGACGCATCAAACATAAATGGGAAAAAAAAATCCATCAACAGAGCTCAAATAATGAGTGTCTTCAGTTCTCAAATGCATATTGGGTGTTATTAAAAGGAAATGTATGTCACACAAAGGTAAACATGCTCTTGTCCCAGCTTTTTTGAAAAGTGTTGCAGGCATCAGATTCAAAATGTGTGAATATTCAGATAATGGATGGATGAAAATTCATCAGCTTGAACATTCAATATATTGTCTTTGTAGCGTATTCAACTGAATATAGGTTGAAAGTGAAAATGATTATATTCCGTTTTTGTTTACAAATATGTACACAATGCCAAAACCTTATTAGAATTGTGGTTGGTGGCTGTCAGAGTTTTGACTGATTCTTTAGGGATTGTTTCCCATTCAGTATTGAAATGAATTAAGAATAAGAACAGGTATAGTGGCTCAGCTATACGGGAAATGCAACTGCACACAACAAAAGCCCCAGCATGATAAATACTGCCATATGTTTGGCAAAATGTTAACCAAGAAGAAACTACGTGAACAGCAAATAAAAGTCAATCAAAGCAAAATGAACAGGATAAACGGCTATTAAAGAGCACCCTCAGGGTGTGCTTCTCTTAGGTAGTCACAGCAGAGTAGTTTGAACCCATTAACTTTGAGAGAAGATGATGGTGGAATTACTTGACTATTGTTGCTAAATATGCAATAAGCATTCACATACTGAAAATACAAATTAGATGTGTTTCTTCATGGCCACTTGTGTTACTGAGAGGAAACAATTGTTAAATTAAGGTAGCACAATGGTTGTGACTTCTTTGCTACATTTTTTTCATGGCTCCGAGAATTTAGTTTTGAGCAGCAGGTTTTTTTGTCATTAAATATCTTGAATTAAGCACTGATTTTAGTTTGTATAAGCACACCACTAAACTCTTAAAAGTAACATTAGCACAGAATTTTGTTAATTTTGGAATAGACAAAATGTGCAAATTTGAACAATAAATACAACCATGCAAACAGACATGTTAGAAATGCATACTGTACATTCAATTGAGATTTGCCCTGAATGGGAAAGCGTCCTTCCACCCATTTTTCAATAAAGATCGATAACAGGTGAGCTCGTGTCTATCCCAGCTGACTTTGGGTCCCCAGCCATTTGAAGGGGGATTTGGGATATAAGTTAAAAAATATAAAGTGATAGTATAACAAAAGTTAGGATAACAACTAAAAAGCCAATGAATGGCTGATTGGGACGAAAGCCCTCCATACATTGAGCAATGCGGCCGAATGCCACTTAACGGTAGCGCATGGAACGGGGTTCTGCTGCTTCATGTTTGGCCATTAGTTTGCGGTGTGCAGATATAGATATATTTACTCCCAAACTGTAATGAAATCTACATTTGTAATTGCCTAGAGTTGCCACAAGAAGGTGGCAAAATACTATTTTCATTTAGATATGGCAAAGGCACCACTAAATGGATCTCCTCCCCTCATTTAATCACTATTCCTTGGCCCAAGTATGCTATAAAATAGCATCAAAGCAATCCTGTTATCGTAGACAGGACTTTGGCCTGAGCTCAAAAACCTCATAGGGGTGATTTTTGCAACTATCTGAAGATAGGTTACCCATCCCCCACCCCGCTCTCAAAATGAGCAAATTGGCAAATTCATGAATGATGAACCACAAATTTTGAATGGGGTCAATGTGTTTCAAAGACTTCACTTCTTACCCTACGGCCCTTAGTACCGGCACTGCCAGGACTCCCTGTCTGCCCCTGTAGACCCTATGAGGACAAAAAAAGAGCATTAATGATTGGAAAGTTCAACAATGGTAAAAAGTTCGCAATGTCAAAAAAGAAAGTATTTTATCTAAAATTTCACTCCTAAGATTTCACATATCAAGTTAAAATTGGGTAAATAAGACAGAAGATGAATTATACCATGTAATAATTCCACAGTTTGTAAAAGCGGTGTGTATAAAACTTAGCAGATTGTCCCATATGATTCATAAAACAGTTGAACCAACTGTAGAAGCAATGTCAATATTTAGCACCAGTCACTCTCAACTTTGTTGAGGAACCCATGATACTAAACAATGTTGCTTCATTTCCTTCAGTTCTGCACGCAATTTCATTCATGTTTAATTCTAGGCTTTACAACACCCTGTTGAAAGACCAAATTAAATAGAAACTGTGACTATGACATTCCCATGCGCCATGATTGTATAACACATCTTCCCTTTCACCACGACTTGATACGTTGTGTTTAACTGAAAGGCTCTGTTCAGTTTTTCACAATGACCACTTTTGGCTTCTCAAAGGACACTTTTCCAAAAGTGTTGTGATTTGTTAGGATAAGACTTTGCAAAAATATGCTGAACAATAGGGTCTCTAAGGGCCAACATTTTGGCTCCTTGACATTGTGTTAAGGCATACTTGGAACCAGGGAACAGCTCTTTGTTCTAGTTTCAGAGACCTGATGACTGCAGCACTTGAGTGTTTCTTGACCCCAATAATTTACTCAAAATGGTTAAAAAACTCATTGAAACACGAGAATGAATGCATTGATTTCCACCCATACCCTATGTATGAATGCTAAGAAGAAGCGAAATTAGCGGAAATGAGGATGTGGCACTTACAGGTGTACCTTGCATGCCGATGTCCCCAGGACTCCCAGGCAACCCTGGATATCCCTACAGCAAAGAAACACAGCGGAACAAGAGGATTGAAAAGGTACTGTCTGTCTACATGTGATACATATAATGGAATACAATTCAATTTATGAGCTCATTTGTGACTGTAGTTCACGTGAAGTGATGACAAAGATCTAGCGTTCATCCATATTTTCTGCAGTTATTGCAGGGTTTTTCCTGCATTCAAAATTGAGTGGCAGCCGCCTCCAGGTAATTATTGTACCGCCCCCAGCCAGACCATTGATATGGCTCAATAGAGCGTAAAGTTCCAGCTGTGCTGATTGAGTGGTTGATATCCCTTGGCAGCAGCTCCGTATTTTCATTGCAGTTGCAGCGTTTGTGCCACTATGTCGGCGCTATATCAACAGCAGCGCACAGGAAAGACCTGACACAAGTACCGAAAAAGATGCAGATGGGATCGTGGTTATTTCCCTGCTAGTTGATGCTATTGGCATCCTGATTTTCCCTGGCAAATGGTACAAACTGATAAATACAGAGATGAAAGTGGACTTTCCTGAAAATTCCTGAGAATATTTTGATCTCCGTTCAAGTACTCTTCCTCAAGCCATGACCACTTGAACATGTTCCTAACACTCCCGTCTATTGGATTGGATTGGATTGGATACAACTTTATTGTCAAATGTGCTGTATGTGTACAGCACAGATGAAATTTCTTCCCTCTATTGCACGTATGTCAGCTTGCCTGTCTACCTGTTTGAACATTGCGCTTGGGCCGTACCTGGCCGATCACGCATGCATTAGTTTACACAAAACGCTATTCAAATACTCGACATTCAATGATTAATCTTCCTTTTGTGTGCACACGTGCACCCTTTGTGGCTTCCATTCTTGCCGAAATGTCGAAATCTCCGAGATATGGCAAGGCCATGAGAATGCCAGGCGAGGGTGTTACTGTTGTAGCGACGCCACTCGAGCGAAGCGCGCCTCAGCAGTCGATGATCCGACGCTCGAAGTCGGACGGACACATTTTTCTGCTAATCTGTGTGTTTCCCTTTTTGTCCAAATATTATATTTTTTTACTACAACAACTGTCTTGTCCACGGCGTCTTTTATTCGTTCCATTGGGTTTTAGCAAGTGTGTTGATAAAAAGACGAAAATCTCTTTACTGTTACTAGTGTTAGTGCCTCAACATGGCTACGCTCGTGAAAGCAAAACAACGAACTCAAACGCGTGTTCCTTCAATGTTGTCAACTGATATCCGGATTAATTTTAGGCATTTTTTTCCTCAATTTTCCGGAATTTTCATGAACATTTGAAAATCTGGAATTTCGGGAAAATCCAGAGGACTTTCATCACTGTAAATATTATTGATGGATTTTTTTTGTATCCAAACTGGTCGTGTTTATGAAAATAAAAGTTTCCTTTGTGTCAAAGTAACATTTATGATTTCTAACGTTTTTCATTTTTTCAAAAGAGTGAGGTGAAAAGTCATGAGTCCAGGTGAAACTGTCATGATTTGGTTTGGGACCAACAGGTGGCACTGTAGGGCTTCCCCTGCAGCTGCACACCTGTTGGTCGTTATGTAATTATTAGTGCTATAAAAGGAGTCCCGGCACGACCACTCAGGGTCATTGTGGCTGTTTTTGTTTACTGCTATCATGTTTGTTCCGGTCATGTTTCGGTTCGTGATAGTTTTTGCTTCAGTCAGGGTTTTGTTTGTTACTTTGGATTTTGTTTTCTCTGTGTTTAAATACAATTTGTCAAGTACACCCCGCTCCTCCCTCTTGCTTTGTTTTTGGGGTCCACCACCACCTCGCAAATGTGACAGAAACTTAGCAGAGAAATTAACGCAACAGCCAATTTATAAAATGTAATAATTCATGGTGGTGACAACATGAGGAAATTTGGTCTGAAACACTGCTGATAGCGAGGGTCGGAATGCAGGACAGGACAAGACTACACAAATTAATTTCCAATTACAAACATAACACATATCCAATCCAGGCAAATGCTGCCTCCCTTGTGAGACAGCCATCAACCAACTACAGGCTGGATACATTAAAAAGACATGAGGTGACGGCTATTCACAAAGCAGTAGAAGAGGAGGAGAAGTATATTAAAGATGGCGAGACCTAAAAACACTCAACTAATAAAGTTACAAAAATTAAAATAATACAGTTTAAATAGATAGTTGAAGAATTTTGTACTTTTTTGTTGTTGTTTTTTTAACTTGAGGATATTGCAGCGTGCTATTGCAGCACAGGTGTACATTGATCATTGAGTGCTTGAAGGCTGCTTCAAAGTAATCAATGTGTCTCAAACAAAAAAGGCCCCACCACACAAGCTGTGAGTCCATCATTATCCAATGCAGGTTTTAATAAACAAATGCTTGAACATAATAATCGTCATATTCTTATTGGAACTCTTAACTAAAAGTATGTTTCCTGTAAAAGAAAGGGAGTCAGTAGAATTTACAGAGTACATGTACATGCACGTCGTGACGCGTGGTCAGGATGGTGCCACTTCTGCCTCAGTTTGAGCCGGGAAAAACCCTGCCATGTGATTTTTGTCAAAGCTCTAGCAATTCTGATATCAACACAGGATGGCGCAGGTAGCCTGTATCTCAGGTTAACTCGTTTCAAAGTCACAACTGCACACTTGATCTCAAAAGACAAATGGGTGTTCAAAGTCAGTCAAGTCAAATCTTAAACAAAACACCCATTAGTTGTTCCTTGATGGGGCCATTTCATTTCACTGATTTTTATTACCACATCTAATGCTCTATATTGCAATATAATATGCATGTTGAAAGCAACTTAAGTCAAAATTCAGATTGGCTGATCAGTGTGGCTCCACAGCTGGGTATATAATTTGAAACAAATCCGTTTTTTTATTACATATCCATAATAAGAACCCATAATAAGAACTTTATATCAATAATGTTCACGTTTGTAGAAGTTGTTCAGATCAACGTACATCGTGCACGTTTGTGAATTCTCCTGAAATAAATAATAAACGAATAGATAGAGAGATAGATAGACAGGCAAACAAACCAAGTTCTAAATGTAATCACATATAATCGTTGCTGCAGCACTGAAAAACAATATTGTGATTGGATTACTTTTAGAAGTTAAACACAGGGCTCTATATTCATCAACAGAGCAAATGCGGTTCAGCATTAATAACAGGCCCATCTTGATTTTTGTGCCAGTGCAACCATCATTGAGTGTGTCTGGGAATTTGCCAGACAGCTCTGCGCCATTCTGGGTGAGCCGATGGACTGGGGGTGTTTTCTTTTACCCCACCCCAGTGTGCCTGACAATAGGGTGGCACAGGTAGTGTAACACGATCCTGGCAAATTCTGGTGCAGGAAGACAGGTTCTGACCTTTGCGGATATGCATGGTGGATTTCATTCATAAATATGACAACACCATGGATCAGACCCTCTAAACCAGACACATTTCCAGGGACACGACCTCGCTATGCCGGAATGCTGAGCTTGCCAGATACCCGCCTCCCAAATTGGTAAACATACACACTGAGCCTTGCCTTGATATGCAAATCAGGATACGACGGCATTTGCAACACAGCCGAGGTGAGCCGTCTATGAAAATGGAGCTCATGTTGTTAATTATAGCAAGAGGTGAGTGAAAAACATTATAAAAATGGCCCAAATATGATGTGTTAATAAAATACATCAGGATTTTCCATAATAGTGTGCAGAAAACATTGGAAACATGCAATAAAGCACTTAAATCGGGATGAAAGAGAATCTTAAGAAGCAAACAAAAGGTGAGATTGGCCAACAAATAAACACTTGCAAATGGTTACGAAATGAAAACTGAATGTCATGACGAAATAGTTCTCCACTGAAATCAGGTGTTAATGATAGTGCCATAGTTCAAAGCGTTCACATTCACCTGAGCCCTCCACACTGTATCTGACAAAAACATGACAACGTATCCTTACATAAGACGCAAAGCTCACACTCCGAGTGAAACCCATGCACGAGTAATGTTTCAGTCATTTGGCAAGACATTCAGTCACCAGATTAGTCATTCCCACAAGCAGTCAGCGATCATTCAGCCAGCCTTCGATCCAACTAGGTCAGGACTGGTGCCCAGAACTGCTAAGATTAAGTCAATTGAGGATCCTGAGCTGTGAGCCATGCATGAAAGCTACTTTCCACAGAATTACACATGAGATGCACTGGACCAAATCAGAATGACTGGTGAATGATTTCTCCATATAGTTATTATTTTGGGTCCAGGAGAAACATTCCAGGGTGAATACATTTTGTCCTTAGATATTTACACAGTAGCTAAGACCATTGTGTCAAGGCATCATCACAAAACATAAAAAAAAATAATAATAATAATAATTTAAATGTAATTACAGTGCATTTAAACGAAAAGATTTCTCTCTCACCCATCCATCCATGCATCCATTTTCTGATCCACTGTATCCTCACGAGGGTCGCAGGTGTGCTGGAGCCAATCCCAGCCGCCTTTGGGCAGTAGGCGGGGGACACCCTGAACCAATTGCCAGCCAATCGCAGGGCACTCATGAACGAACAATCATCCACGCTCACACTCACACTTAGGGACAATTTGGAGTGTTCAATCAGCCTGCCATGCATGTTATTGGAACGTGGGAGGAAACCCATGCAGGCCCGGGGAGAACATGCAAACTCCACACAGGAAGGCCGGAGCTGAAATTGGTACTTCTGCACTGTGAGGTCAATGCGCTAACCCCTGGATCAACGGGCTGCCCGATTTTACTTTTAGTTGCACGTAATTGAATTATGTTCAAATGATGGAATTTTCTACGCTTTTCCTCAAAAATATTTAAATATGTTCTTTTAACACAGTTTAATCATGTGCAACTGATGTACAAGGAATCACAGATTTTTTTTTTTTTTCCAGGAGGCTGAGAAAGAGGCTCTTCACAATTTGTTTCTGTTTAAATTAAGGATTTGTTTATTGTGACATCTTAAATAAACAGAAGTTAAGGCAAAATTAAAAATTCGTACTCACTTGTGGCCCCTTCTCTCCTGTTGGACCCGTTGGACCTGTCGGACCACGGTCACCCTGGGGGGAAAAAAAAAAAAACTTAAAAAACTCAAGGCCCAAGAATCATGAAACGATGACCGAAGTGGAAAAAAGACAGATTTACATCCTTTCTCAACAAAGAGCCATGAAACTGGAGTTCAGAGGGTCGGGACGACAGCTGGCTGGTTTCGAGCAAGCATGTACTTTGAAGCAGTTGTTGACACCCTGGTAAGTGAGTTGAACACTACACTTAGCATAAATAAGCACCAAAGATGAACAGTCCTCTCTCAAACTCATCGACCCCTTTAACTTGAAAATGTAATGACATGTGATGACTTAGAACTTCGTGTCAAAGAATGATTGGAATCATTTAAAATCTCCAGGAGATATTGCTGAAATAAAATGCATGCTTGTTGCATAACACGAAAGGAATTTTCACACTGTCAAGGTATGATTGGTGCTGACAGAACGAACGAGGGTGAGGTTTTATGCTTAGGAAGAATCAACTGATACCCGAGCAGCTTCAGAACATGTTCTGACACACACAGTGCTTCTGACGCCAAAAGGAGGGGGGAGAAACTTTACAATGGAGGGAGGACATACAGTGGGTCGGAAAAAAGCAGAATCAATCATGGACTATGATTTTTATTTGTTCATTTAATCAGAAAGGTTAAAAATGAGCTTGAACCTTTTTCCTTGAAAGGTGCAAAGTAATTTTTTGTGAGAAAAATACATTTAGCATCAAACAAAATGTTAACATGAGCATTAGTGTAGTTATTGAAAATGGATGTTCATTATTCCATACAGATCTCTCTGTTTTACAAAGTAATTGGCAAACACAGGTGTTCACTTCATTTAAAATACTGAAGCAACATGCACTGTTCTCTTTTCCTCAAGTTGCATTTTTTTTTTGGGGGAGAACAGCAGCAGCAAATCTCTTCAAATGAAAATAGGAATTCACTAAGTTTGGACACATCAATGACACCATCATGCTAGCACTGCCACTGCACCCACACCCACACACACACCCACACACACACACACACACACACACACACACACACACACACACACACACACACAGCGCAAAGTTCTGCTAACGTGACACAAACTGCTTTGCTATGCTTTGGTTGTAGTGTTTAAACTGTTTGTAGTTTTTGAAATCTCTCTCTCTCTCTTTTTTATATATCTCTCTCTCTCTCTCTCTCTCTCTCTCTCTCTCTCATATATATATATATGAATTAATGTCCATTGAACAGAATATGTGCATTAATTCAATCAACTGTTTTCACCTGTTTTAGTGAGCTGTCAAACGATTAAAATATTCAATCAAATTAAAAATGCAACTGTCATAATTAACTCAAATTCACTAAAAATTCATCGTGATTACTCACGCATTTTTTATTGTTTCTGAATGTCCTTTTATATTTTTTTGTCCTATTTTTCCCCCATTTTAATGCTCTCCTCAACATGGAATCATGAATCAGTTTTCTATGTGCAAAATGCAAATATTTACTGAAATAACAATTTCGATTTTCAATTTTACATGAACATTTTTCACTTGGAGCAGTTATTCACACATAATCTCTCACACAATATTACTGTCCATCAACAACAGTGAAAAAAATATTTTGTCACACAACAGCTGCTTTAACAGCTCTTTTTATGGAATCAAAACAGAGCAATATAACATTATAAAGTGCACATCTATGGTAAACTAGTACTCAGCCTACAGTGGATTTAAGCCATGGTTGCATACTTCGTTTTTCTCAAGTTTGCTTTGACACAGCAGTCAGGCTATGTTGATTCTGTTGGTCCTTCTTGCGTGGAAGTCTCTCTATGGTTTTGTGGAGACATCATTTCGGATAACTGCACTTGGTTCGAGGCACAACACTGGAGACGTTTTATTTTCAGTGTG